CCCCCCCCCCAGACCCCTCCCACTCCCTGGTCCCGCCGCTGGGCTCTCAGCGCCCGGGGGAGACACAGCCCGACGCCTCCCCGCCCTCTTTCGCCAGGCCTGCTCACCCCGTTATTAATTGCTGTGTTGACCTGCAGGATTGATTGGCGGCCCCTCTGGATGAGGCCGCGAGGCCTTGGCCTCAGAGCAGCCGCGCAGCCCAGGACAGAGGAAGGCGGGGGAGGTGCTGGCCATGGGTCCTGAGCTCCTAACGCAGCCCCGCCTGGGACACAGCTGTTTGCCTAGACACCCTTCTCCACCCCCTGACACACACACACTTTTCACCCACCCTTACAACACTCACACACACACACTCTCACGACCCCCTCGCCAAGGAGACACAAGAAAGTCTCCTTAATTGATTTAGAAATGGAAAGAGGCTTCCTCCCTACATTAGTCAGATTCTCCAATACATTCGTTAGCTGCGGGTCTAGACCTCCTCGCCCGGCCAGACGTGGTGGATTGAGCTGCTAGGATCCGGGCATTATTCCGTCTGAGATTCACTTTGCATCTCTTTTCCCCCCAGGAACACTGACCGAAAAGTTACATATCCCGGGATGCGGATAACCCTTACAGTCTCAAACCAAAGCACTTTCCCCAGAAAGAGCCAGTGCCCTGACTCCTGAGAGATTCGGTTCAGCCCTTTTGTTTCAAGTTGGGAAGGGGCGGGCGGGGGGTGGACAGCTCTGGACCGCAAAGGGCGGAGGATGGAGGCTTGCAGCCCCCGGGGCAGGGGTCTGAGCCCAAGCGAAGGACTTTCCCCGCCTCCCCCGCCTGCCTAACTCGGCGCGCGCTTTTGCGTCCCCCCCCCTCACACACACACACACCAACCACAGCAACACTTCCTGCCCCGACCCCAGGCCACAGACCCACCGGCAGGAACCCCAGCAGGAGTGAGCCCCGGGACCTGGGCTCCAGGCTAGAGTGGGCGGAGGCTGCAGGAGTGGACTGACCTCGGCCGGTCCGGAGAGCCCTCTTCTCCTTGGTTCTCTCCCGGGCTCACCAGCCCCTCTCTCCCCCGTTTCTCCCTCTTCCTCTCCGCTCCGGTCCTTTGTCTGCAGCCACTTCGCGACGCCAAGCAGCCCGTCCCCGCCTGGGCGGCCCTGCCCCTGGCTTCCCAGGGCCGTAGGCGGGTCTCCCCTTCTTACCGCTCCCGGCTCTGGGGTCTGGCGCGCTCTCCGCCCGCTCCTCGCACCCGCACCGCTGCTGGCAGAGGAGACGGGGAGGGCGGGCGCCGCGGAGGGATCCGAGAGTAGATTTGGTGCTTGCTCTCAAGTCCGGGACAACTCGCCCTCGGGCTTCTCCCGCCTCGCCCACTGTTCCTGGGCGCTGCAGAGCCCCGCGCCCTCGCCCGCCCGTGGCCCCGTGCTTTCCTCGGACTCTGGCTGTGGCTATTCCGCTCCCTCTGATCAGCTCGGCCTCTGGAGTTGCGCTCCCCCTGCTCAGCACTGAGTTCCCTTTCGGCTGCCCCGTCTACCGCTCTCCCCCTGACTTCGCAACCCCCCTCATCGGGTGGACTTGCTGGGTAACGCCTGGGAGGTCCAGGGCCCGCCGGCACCCGCACCGTCTCCCTACACCACAGCCAGGTTAGGCTGAGGGCTCAAGGCCTGACTGAGAAGAGGGTTAATCATTACTTGGGCACCGACACTCAGCCTCACTGGGACTCTCTCATCCCGGCTTGGGGAGGAACCTGGGAAGGGGTTCTTGGCCAGGCGGGAACCTCGACTTTTCCCAAATTAGCTTCCGCAGGCCTTCCAGAGACAGGTGCCTTCTCCATGCCCTCCGCACCCCTTTCACGCCCTTTTCTTCCCCGCCCCTCTCCGCCTTCCACGCCTCCCCTCGGCCAGGCCTCCCCGCACCATCTCATCTCCACTCTGGCGTTGGCAGGTTGACTGCAGGTCCTGGGAGGACCAACTTGCTTTGTTTGGAACCGGACTGGACGGGATTTCCTCCCCCAAATTTCCGCCAACGGGCCAGCTCCTCCCGACGGTTTTGGCAGATTGGCCCAAAGGGGACCGCGCCAGAGGCCACAATTAACCCGGCTGTTCGGGTGGGGGTGGGGGTGGGGAGTTGAACTGCTCCTCAAGCAGCTGCACTAGTGTAGTGGGGCAGGCGTGCAGGAAGAAGTGGTAACGGAGGAATGGCAGGAAAGAGAGAGAGCAGGGTGGGAAACATGTACGGGGTGTGGTGTGGTTATGGGAAAGGAAAAAATCCCGAAAGGGAAGAACCCAGGAAGGGAGACAGTGAGGGATCTTCTAGTTAACTTTATAGGATAGAAGTTGTCTGGAAAATACCACCCCCTGCCTTGCCTAAATGCCCAGTCCTCCCCCGCCTTCCGTCTTCTCCAAGGTTAAGTGTTCAGAGAGCCAGGCACTTACTCCTTCTTCTACTATGGAAATGTTTGGTTTGTAAGTGCTTTCCTGTTGGCTAGCTCCATAGAGTAGGCAAGACAGGTGTCATTATCCCTATTTCACAGGCAAAAAGACTGAGGCTCAAAGAGGCCAAAGGACTGTGCAGGCAGCGGCCGCTGCTCCTTCCCGTGGGCTCTGGGGTGAGTGGTCCCTTTAGCCGTTCAAAGGTCCATGGGTGTCTGGGTGTGGGTGTGTGTGAAGGGACTACTAGACTCTGTCCAGGTTTGACCAGGGCCTCACTGCACACCCCCCCCCCCCCCACAACTTGTTCTCTGTTGGGCAGAACCCTCCACTCCTAGTTTAGACCTGCCTCGACTATTTTTTCTGCTCCCCAGTCCGGTGGCCCACCAGCGGCAGCCACCTGGCAGGCCCGTGCCACTAAGAGGCGGCTTTGGTGGCCAAGTGGCTTGCATTGTCGTTTCCCTTCAAAGGGGCTGAGAAGGGCCGGGCAGGTCGCTAGGACCTCTAGTAAGAAGCAGCCGGTTGAAGGGGGAGGGTCGGGGAGGATAAAGGCGCAGCACGTGCGCCAGCCGCCACAGGACCAACAGACCGAGAGGGCGGGGCGGCCTGTACTCTGGCCCCCCGGGCTTCACGCAGGGAGCCCAAATATCGGGAACAAAAGCAGGAAAAGAAAAGTGAGAGCAGGAGGGAGGGAGGGAGCAAGGGAGGGAGCGAGGAAGCAGAAATTAGGGGGTCTTAGATGAAAAAAAAAAGTAGCTTTAGGGGGAATGTGCCGTGGAGTGTGAAATTGCAGCCCATGGTGCTCCATATTGTACCAGAAGCTCTTCCAAAAAAAAAAAAAAAAAACAACCATCCTCCAACGTGACCAGAGGGCTAGGAAGGGGGAGGGGTGGGGAGAGGATGGGGAGGAGGAGGGGAAAGGGCCGGGCAGGAGCTGGTCAGGCCGACCAGGGGAGGGGTCGGGTGATGCGTGCGCCCACTGCCTGGAATCTGATCTCCCAGTGTGCGCCCCGGGGTGCGCCGGGAACCTTGGGGCGAGTGGGCCGCGGGGCCGCCCGGGACTTGGGTTGTTAGACGAACTTTTTTTCTTTTTTTTCTTCTTTTTTTGTGAAGGTGATGACTTCCAAAACTGGGAATAATTCAGAAAAGGAGCTCAGCTGCGGAGCTGCTGCTCTACACCACCCTTTTATCTTCCCTCCTCCTCTCTGCCTCTCTTCCCTTCGGACTAGTTTTCCCCCCATCGGTTCTAAACAGCTTCTTTCCCCCCCTGAACTTTAATGCATTTAATTTGGTCCTCGCTGTGGGAAGCATTTCCTAGGGAGATACATTTAATTTCGGAATTTCTAATCCCCTCCCTGAGAGGCCGGGCCCTGGCTCCCCTCACTACTCCCCAGGAGGCCTCAGGAGTGGAAGGAGGAAGGCAGGCCCGGCCAGCAGGCTGGGGCACAGCTGGGGGGCTCCCGCACCCCCAGCCCCCCAGACCAAGCCACCTTCCCAAACTTCTGGAGGTGGGGTGCCTGGGCCACACCGTTCAGGGCCCATCCTGTGGAGGGGAGGCAGCCACACCTCTATTTTCCTCGCCCAGTGGAAAGCCCTGGGTCAGGGACTGGGAAACTGGAACATGAGCAGAAGGATCGCCAAAGAATCGGTGCAACTGGGGGCAACAGACAGGATTTCCATAAACCCATCCCTTCATGCACAATCTGCCCAGAAACCAATTTGGGAGCTGGGGTGCTAGTTGGGCGGTTGGTTTGGCTTGGGGGGGGGGTCTGTGCGTTTGCACATAGTAGGGCAGAGAAAGGAGCTCAAGGGGGACTACTGTCTCCTGACTCGTACACCCTAGCAGAGCAGGCACCAGGCAACCGGAGACTCAGGCAGCTTTGCTGGAGGAAGGCAGCAAGGGTGGGGGCTCTGGGCGCCAGGCAAGCCTGGCAGGGAAGGGAGTGGAGAAGGCAGAGGAATGGAGATCCACAAGGAAGATTTATTGGGCAGATCAGATGCACAGAGGCGGCTAATGAAGCAAATCCCGAGATGGGTATCAGAGCAACTCCCCAAAAGTTTATTTGCCTTTAAATTTCCGCAGGGAGGCGGGCGCCTTGTTTGAAGTGTAAATGCCCCTGGGTTGGGGGGTGGATGGGCCGCTTTGAAAACACCAGAGAGAAAAGGTTCATTTAGAGGCGGACGGAAAAGCAACCAACCCTGACAGGTCGGAGCCCCGGTTGTGTTTGGGGTTGGGTTGTTTTCTTTCTTTCCCTTTCCTTTTCTCTTTCCTCTTCTTTCTTCTTCCCTTTCTTGTTTTTTTTTTTCTTCTTCTTCTCTACTAGGCTCTATAGAAGAAGAAAGGGAAGGACAGGAAAGGGAGCATCAGTGGGAGAGGCCAGCCCTTCAGCCTGCAGTCCCAGGAGAAGGCAGAGCCTTGGCTAAAATCACTAGGGAGCAGGGCTCTTTGACTTTCTAGAGCCTGGAAGGGCTGGCGCTAAGGAGGAAGCTGCCAGGGCCTGGCCTGGGGGGGCTGACCAACTCCTGTAGTGCTGGATGGAGAAGTGGTCCCAGAAGGGGCTGAGGTGAGGTGGGTGGAACTCTGGAATCTCAGGGGCTACCTGGGAATTGGACTGTCATGGAAAGGTCTTCACTTCTTAGGGGGTACGTGTGTGTGAGAACTACATCCAGCATACTTTGTGCATTAAGTCCCCTTTACAAAAGGTGAAAGTGCCTCTTGCAAATGCCTGTTGTCTGCACCCACACGTCAACATACATGTAACGGTGGAGATGTGTCCAGCTGGTTCTAGAAAAACCTGAATCTATGTGTGGTTCTGCCCACAGTCTTGTTCCTCCAGTAGTTCAGCTTCCCAAAGACAACTTCCTGGACCAACACAGGGAGATGGGAGAGAAGGGCTCCCTGAGTTCTGAGTTCTGAGTTCTGAGCTCCTTTCAATAAGGACCTTTCCTCGATGCCCCCAAACCCCAATTCTGGGTTAATTACCTCCCAGAGAAAGCCCGCGCCTGTACCAACTAACACCACCTAAGAGCCTGGACTCCCAGGCCTTTCCCTCTAGACGGAAAGAACTCTGGCTTTCCTTTTTCACTACCCACACGAAGTTAGTGCGTGTTCGTGGGGGTTTTGAGGCCAAAGCAAACCCGAGAGCGCCATCTGCAGGTCTCCAGAGGAAGAGACTGACCTTCAGGGCTGGACCCTGCGTCTTCAACCTCCCGCCCTAGGTAATCCGCTTGGCCACCCGAGGGAAGTGGGGTTGGGGGCTCAGAAGGAGGAGGCAGGTGGAGACGGGTTTTTCCTCTCAGAAGTTACTTAGCAGGTGGATTTAGGGGATCGGGCTCGGGAGGATCTAGGAAGTAGGGTAAATCCTAGGATCCCAGCAGACCCGGTCCCCTAATGAGTGGCGGCTCAGAAACATGTCAGGCTGCGCCTGGCCCTAGCCCCGTGAGAGGATTAAGGGCGCCCCCCCCACCCCCAAACCTGGGTGCAAGAGGCCCAGTAGGCGTTTCCTCCTGGCGGAGACGGGTGAGTGTAGCCC